GTTACGTTTAGCGTTAGGTTAAAAGGGTTAGGGTTAGGTTTAGCGTTAGGTTAAGGGGTAGGTTTAGGGTTAGGGTTAGCGTTAGGTTAAGGGTTAGCGTTAGGTTTAGGGTTAGGTTTAGGGTTAGGGTTAGGTTTAGGGTTAGGTTTGGGGGGGTTAGGGTAAGGTTTTCGCTTTAATTTTACATTTACCGCTCACAGCGCAATGTTTTCGTCGCGCTATGATGACGTCACGTACGCACTTTCGTCGAGCGCGCTTTTGTCTACCGCGGTTTTGTGGTGGAACCCTCGGGAGGGCTGCGTTCGGCCCTCTTGAGCTCCATTTTTGCTGGCAAGGGCACCGTGGGCTGGCCCTTCGCTGTTTCCAGGGTGGCCCCGCAGGCCAGATCTAAGTGGGCCAGATCTGGCCCATGGGCCTTAAATTTGACACCCCTGGCTTAGATCAATACTGCCAACTATTTCAGTGATGTCTGTTTCCTGATCTGGCTTACCTTGAAGGTTGATGAGCAATTTACAGTTTTGATGCTCGCCCCCTACTCTTTGGCCTGAAACCGCATGCTTCACCCGCTTTAAGAACAGTCTGCATTCGTACAAATGTTTGGTGAGTTACATTTCTCAGTCTGCTTTGGCAAACCTGTCCCATTTGCTTAGTTCTGTGTATTGTGCAAATCCAGGAAAAGATTTTACACAATTCTGGAGTTACGTCATTGTTCACTTTTCAGTGTACTTATTTTTTTATTCCCTATCTGTTCAGTATGCAAAGGCAGCAACCCAAACTCTTCCAAAGAGGCTGCTTTTTTAACAGAGTTAACAGTAATAGAGTTGGAAGGGTTATTGGAGGTCATCTAGCCCAACCCCCTGCTCACGCAGGAGACATGTACTAGGGATTCAAACCGCCAAATTGCCGACCTTTCTGATCGACAAGCTCAGTGTCTTAGTCACTGAGCAAGAAACCCTTCCAATTCTACTATGAATTATGGACTAAAACGTGTGGTTGAATATCTGAGATAGGAGGAGCCCGACAAAGGCAGTATAAGGATGGAAGAGTCTCCGAATTTTAATCACATGGCCACAGGGATGCTGCGATGGTCGTAAGTGTGAAAAAATGGTCGTAAGTCACTTTTTTTCCAGTGCTGTTTTAACTTCGAACAGTCACCCAATGAACTGGGGACTACCTGTATAAGATGGCATCTAAGGCAGCTTTTCTCAGTCTCAACAATTTAAGTTGTGTGAACTCCCAGAATTCCCCAGCCAATGTAGCTCAGATTTAGCAGATTTAACAGAGTTGGAAGGGACCTCATAGGTCATCTAGTCCAACCCCTGGCTCAAGCAGGAGACCCTACACCATTTCAGACAAATGGCAGTCTAATCTCTTCTTGAAAGTCTCAGGTGAGAACCCCCCCCCCCCAACTTCCGAAGGAAACTTCTGTTCCATTGGTTGATTGTTCCTACTGTCAGCAAGTTCCTCCTTGTGACTCCTTGGTCAGTTTCCATCCATTATTCCTTGTGTGGCCTTCAGGGGCTTTGGGAAATAGTTTGACCACCTTCTCTCTGTGGCAGCTCCTGAAATATTGGAAGACTGCTATTTATGCCTCCCCTGGTCCTTCTCTTCACTAGACTAGCCATGCCCAGGTCTTGCAAACGTTCTTCATATGTTTTAGTCTCCAGTCCTCTAATCATCCTGGTTGCTCTTCTCTGCACTTTTTCTAGAGTCTAAACATCTTTTTTTATAGTGTGGTGGCTACCAACATCCAGAACTCTCCCTTGGGAGGAAGGATGGGATGCCTTAACCATCTAACCTGCTTTTGTTTATTTTATTGTTAAAATCCATTCTTTCCTTGGAAAAGGCAGGTGGGAAAGAGAGGTGCATGCAACAGAAGCAAGGCCGTCAGTCGTTACCTTTTGTCAGATCCGACGCCTCTTTTCTGCTCCCCTCAAAAGGATGGAGGATGCCTCGGCTGAGTGGATGGAGGGGAAGAGTCATAAGATCTCAGAGCTGGAGGGGACCTCAGAGGTCTTCTAGTCCAACCCCCTGCTCCAATTCGAAGAACAGAGGCTGGAGGGGGGGGTCGCAATTGAACCTCCCACCCGCCACCCCGGCGCTGCTCGGTCGTCTCGTTCAGACCGACCGCCAAAGCCTCCACCGAAGGCGCGGACTCTTCGGCTCCATAGACGCCGCGGACCGGATCTCGCAGCCTCGGCCTCGAGGAAGACCAGCCCCTCTGAGGTCGCCGAGCGGGGGAGCGAGGGAGAAGGAAGAGAGGCGGAAAAGAGGAGCTTCGTTCGGGAGGGCCTCGGCCAGCCGAGGAACCGGAGCCATCTGCTGGCCGCGCCGGTTTGCCGGGAGGGAGAAGCAACCGGCGGGCGCACGGGAGAGCCCCTTACGCGCGCTCCGAAGTGGAGAGGAAGGGATCCCCAAGCCCAGCATCCCCAGCCAGCTGGCCAATCGGGGATGCTGGGAGTTGCGGCTGAACTGCCGGGTCTGGAGGGTGCTAGCTAGCTGAGTCCCGGGGCTGGTGGCTGGCTTACGATCTCCAACCTGGAGCCCTTCCCTTTCCAGCAGAGCCAGGTGGAAGGTGCGGGTTGGCAAGCAGGCATAGAGGTCGGGGATCACGGGAGCGACTCTGATCAGAGGCGGCTTGGAAGAAGGAAGCCAGAGGCTCCATACGGGTGGGTCCTCAAAGCACCACCGCAACTGAGCGCAACATTTCCATGCTAAAAGTAAGACAGTTATTAAGTGAGTTTTGCACCATTTTTACGACCTCTCCTGCCACAGTGAATCTGCAGTTGTTAAGTTACCTGCACACGGGAGTCTGGCTTCCCCGTTGACTTTGCTTGTCAGAAAGTCACGAATATGGTCACATGACCCTGGGACTCTGCCACCTTCATTAAGTAATGCCAGTT